AACGGATGAGCGATGGGATGGGCACATGGATACATGCAGCTATGGATGACGGGATGGACTTTTGAGGCGCCTCAAAAGTCATCTCTCTACCCGCAAATTTTATTTCAGGCGCCTCAAAAATCGTGAGAGGGGAGAAGAGGATCAAAGGATGAGCGATGGGATGGACATATGGATGCATGCAGCTATGGATGGATGGAGGGATGGAAAGTGGTAAGAGGACCCGAACGGCAGAACACCTGTGGCCAGCCCGTAGTGAAGGAATGAACACAAGGATGCTAGCAGCTGCGTTTTGAGTCAACTCAAAACACGACTCAAGAGTCAAAACACGTTTTGAGTCGACTCAAAACACGACTCAAGAGTCAAAACACGTTTTGAGTCGACTCAAAACCCGGCCCGGAGTGTGAAGGAATGCACACGAGGATGCTGGCAGCTGCAACTCTCTCTAGGCTTCGGAGCAGAGTAAAAAGGCGTAACCAGCTTGAATTCGAACGTACCTCTGGGTCCAAAAGAGCGACCTGCTGATCCATTGATGCATCCCCACTGCAACCCCAGTTTTCTCACCTTGCCCGCATACCCCACCGCCTCCTGCTGCTCAGGTGCGTTGCGACAAAGAGAGTCCAACGTACCTCTGGGTCCAAAAGAGCGACCTGCTGATCCATTGATGCATCCCCACTGCACGCCCCATTCGCTGCCTCCTCCGTACCCACCACCGCCTCCTGCTGCCCATGCGCCTTGCTGCCATCTACCTGTGGCTTGACAACGGGCCTGAGGCAGTTGCAGGGAGGTGGGGAAAGAGGCAAAAGGGGAAGGCATAGCATAGGAGGAGAAGATGGACGAGCAGTTTGGCTTAGCTAAGCATATGTTAATAACAACGCGGCAAGCCACCCCAACGACCCGTAACTTAACTACGAGAAGAAGGGCGACAAGAAGGCTGCTGACGATCAGCCTGCCTGACGTGCGCTGCTGACCCCAGCAGCCAAATCTCCGCCTCAGAAGCAAATTAAACGGATTTTGGTCACTTGAGAATAATAAAAAAAAAAACAGATTCAGCCGAATCTCGGCCTCAGGGGCCAAAGTGGATGGATTTTGGTCACATGAGAAGGCACTGACCTCGGGCATTAGAGAAACATAAAGGCCGCTGACGATCAGCCTGACATGTGAAGATCTTGGCAGCCAAAACTGACCCTCAATTTAGTCACATGACAAGGCACTGACCTTGGCACTAGGGAAACGTGAAGACCGCTGACGATTAGCCTGACGCGTGCCGATCCCAGCAACCGAATCTGACCCTCATGAGCCAAAGTGGATGGAATTTACTCATGTGAGTGAAGGAACTGACCTCGGCACTAGAGAGACATGAAGGCCGCTGACGATCAGCCTGACGTGCGCCGATCCCAGCAGCCGAATCTCCAGCCTCACCGACCCAACACGCGCAGCGGACACACGCAGGGAACTATCCTCCCCCAACCACTCCCGGTTCAATGAATCTGGACAGGCCAGGGCTTCGGACAGGTGCACTGATCCGTTGAGGATGCTCGCTCGGACGGCATCTCGATGGATTGGCTGCAACGGGAGAAGCTCACATAGCTTCTGACGGAGAAGTTTCGCGATAAAAGAATCCATTCTGATGAATGTGCTAATAGCGAGGACGGAGTCCTACATCATCATCCGCAATGCTGAGGTTCTCTACGCTCCTAAAGACGCGTATTCAATGAAGAAAGCTCGAATAGATTCTTAACGGTGATAACTCTAGCGAGGATAGAACCCAGCGCCATCCTCACCCTGATTGTAAAGGCTCCTGGAAGCGCGTAATCAAGCGATGCGCTAATAACAACTAACGAGTCAGCGCTGCGAAAAAATGAGTTCCCTGATGAGCCTAATCAGAGTGACATTCTGATGAACGGGAAAGACAGGAGCAGCAGCTTAGTGATCGTCTGTTTCGCACCAAGAAACAGAAAGACCCATCAAAGCACTTATGAGAAGCAGCGATGAGCAATACGCGTCGCTAATCTCTGGAGCTGAACACATGGCAGCAGGCTCTACGTCCGTGACCACAACTCCATTCCCTACTCCAGCCATTCGCCATTACAATTCTTGGAACTGCCGCACTGCATGTCTCTGCTACCGCCTTCCAATTAGCACCTGACATTCACTCAGGGTCGTCAGATGTGGTTCCGACGGTTCAGATGTGCTGAACGCGTGGAAACCAGACGCTCATTTGCGGTCCAAGATAATCGCGGAGCTCACACGTTGATTGGTTGATCCCGCGCCTGCTTCGATATAACCCGCACCTTATGAGCACAAATCGACTTTCTCAACTAGAGAGCTATTCTGGATTCGATACCCATGCAATTAGTTGCAAATTTAAATTCAACCTGTACCTATTCCAGAGGTATCCTGCTTGCTCATTTCAGAACGTTCGGATGACATAAATTGTGAAGTTCCCTGTCGTTGAAGCCCCGTCTCCGGCATTGTGAGCCCTCCAAAGCGACCATTGCCAAGCGACATGTAAATTAACCTGCATGTAAAAACGCAGAGAGGTGGTGGAGAGAACCAAAGGCTCATGTCACTCTCTTCCCTCTCTTGCCTCACTCATATCTTACACTCTCAACTCATTACTCTTCTCCTCGTCCTGTGTCTGCTCTGCTCCTTCGATCCTGCTACATGCCAAGACCCCCAAGTCGCACTCAACAGGGCATGTGAAAGGAGGTGGATGTACTGTACCCTCACGCCACAATGAAATGCCCCCAGAAGTGCGGGCCGGATTGGAGGGAGAGGCAGGCCATGAAGGAGCAGGCCATGAATGACCCACCACCACCTCGTCTGCACGTTCCTGCAGGAAGAGATCACCCTTGCACGATGCAGTGCCACCGCCAAAAAACATCATCTTTGCAAACTAGCTTCAGCAGGATGGAGCTTGCAGTGCCGGCACCACGCAACACTGAACCCTGAAAGCATAATCTCGCTAATCAGGGTATCCTAAACACCATTACCCTTTAACCGCCTCATCCCTGTGCTGTGTAGCTCTGTAATCCGGTGGCGGAAAGCAGCCTGCTCTCTTCTCTTCACCATTTCCCCTTGCACCTCCTTCCCAACTCATATGCTGGATGCGCCCTTTGAGGCGCCTCAAAAGTCGTTCCCCCTTGCGCCTCCTTCCCAACTCATATGCTGGATGCGCCCTAGAACCTGCTGCATGGATCCATGGGTTCTTCTGCTGCACATGTAAGGTGCACAGTGTGTAGGTGCTGCTGCTGGTCACAATGAAGCTTACGAGGTCTAGATTTTAGTATAAGGTCTGATCCGGAGGGGCGAAGAAAGCTGTCTGTCTGTCCCTGGGTGCAATGACTGGTGCAGTCTAAACCCTAAAACTTGTATTCTGTGGAATCCAGCCCCACTGGATTTTGGACAAGCAGGCGAGAAAGCAAGCTGAGGAGGCAGTGAGGAGGGCAGGCAGGCACTGCGGCGGGAGGTGAGACACTGAGGCACGGCTATAGGCCTGGCAGGTGATGCGACGGGCACTGCGCTGGAGGCTCACAATAACTGCAGGCGCGACGCAGTTCTTCAGTCCGCATCTGAATCGAGCATTGACATCTCTCAACCCGCGCAGCTGCCAGCAGCAGAGGGCGGTGCAGTGGCGGCACGTGCAGTCCAGGTGTGGTGCAATGCGCAGCTGCAATGAGCACAAGGGCTGCTCGGCGTGGTCTTGATGGCTCTGTCCTATTTAGCCCTGCTTGGAAACTTGGCTGATGGAGGCTCTGCTCTCCCTAATAGGCTCTGCTCTGCTCTCGAGTGGCCTTTGCCGCCAATGAAAGCCGAGGAGCGCCAGGCACAATCAGCATCTTGGCCTGCCTATCCCTGTAGGAAATTCAGTGTAGAAGCATCTTGAGCTGGCGTCTCGAGCGGAAGCAGGTGGGTAGAAGCATCGTGGCCTGGGGTTTGGGGATAGCAGCGGGTGGTGGGTTGCTTGCAGAGGCTCGCTGGCGAATGCTTCATGAAAGGCGTCACTGGCGCTTGCAGTGCACGATGTGCCTCTGATTGTCAGCTAGTGCGGCAGCGACAGGCGGGGCAACTGGCAACAGTGCTGCTGGTGAATGAACTGCTTTGCCTGGGAAATGCCCGAAGTCTTTATAAGGCAATGCGTGGGTGCTCGCCCTTAGCAGCTGCAGTACCGTCCGACCCTGTAAGCAGCTGTAACCTGTTGCTGCTGCTGCTCTGGTATGCCATGCAGCTTACCATTGCCTTGTGATGATAAGCTTTCGTTTCTTCAACCCCCATGCCTTACCGCAATCATCTAACCCTGTTGCTCTCTCTTGCCCCTCAGCCTCTCCTTTCTCAACTGTCATTTTCTCGCTTTCTCTTTCCCTACCTCTCTCGCTCTGCCCTTTTCCAATCTCCTCACACCTCGCACATGAGGAGTACATGCATGCACAAGGGAAGAGGTTCCCGACGACTAGGTTGCACACACGCACAAACACATGCGCGCGCGCACACACACACACACTCACACACACACACACACGCGCACACACGCACACGCACACACACACACACACACACGCACACAGACACACACACACACACACACGCACACGCACACGCACACACACACACGCACGCACGCACGCACGCACACGCACGCACGCACGCACGCACGCACGCACGCACGCACGCTTGCTGCACCTATCCAGGCAGCATGCATGTGCATATCGTTCCCAGTAGGCAGCGGAATGGCAGCACAAGATCAAGCACACCCCATCCAACCCAACGTTGAAGAAACAACCAAGCATGGGACGATGACAAATGCTTGGATTGGATTCTTGATTGAGTGGGGGGATGATGAGAAGAAACTCTGGCAAGAAACTAAGGAGAAGTGGGCAACGGACGAGCTAGGGAGAAGGGGAAGTGAAGAAGTCAGACAATCAGAAACAAGGAGGATGACGACCGGCCGAATGACTTACCAGAATCGAAAAATAAATGGAGCATCTTGGTGACGCACACCCCTATTGCTGCTGCTGCTGTTGTTGCTGCTGTTTCATCTGCTGCAGCAGCTGTGACGCAAGCTGCAGGGTCGCCTTAAACCTCTCATCCTGCATATCAATACCTCCACTCGCCACTCCTCCTCCACCGCCTCCTCCTCCCCCTCCGCCTCCAGCCGCTGTTGCTGCTGCCACAGCTGCTGCGGCCACTGGAACTCCCATGCTGCCACCTGAACCACCAGAGCCACCTGAAAAACCACCTGAAGAAACCCCTGAACCTGGTCCGTAACCACCAGCTGCCTGATGCTGCTGGTAGAAAGGTTGCTGAGGAGGTAAAGGTGCCAAAGGCCCCTGCTGACCCCATTGAGGGGAGAACGCAGCCGCAACACCACCAGCACCACCAGCAGCGCCACCACCACCGCCACCAAAACCTGCGCCACCACCCCCACCAGAACCACCACCACCACCAGCACAACCACCAGAAGCAGTTCCAACGGCCGAGCCATTCCAAGCAGCACCACCACCACCACCACCGGGACCACCACCACCACCACCACTGCTGCGATCACCAAAACCAGTGCCCCTCATGCCACCACCAAAGCCAGAACCGTCAGCCTGCCCTTGCATCTGCTGCTGCGGTTGTTGCTGCATCTGCTGCTGCACCTGCTGCTGCTGCTGCTGCTGCTGCCGCCACTGCTGCTGCGGTTGCTGCTGTGGCGGGGGCAGTGGCGGCCCTTGAAAGGGCCCTCTGGGTGCAGGCCCAGGGAAACCGGCGCCAGGGAAGGGCGCAGCAGGAGCAGATGGGGATAGAGGGCCCCCTGACGGCGCACCTGAGAGGCCACCTGAGAGGGCACCTGAAACGGCACCTGGAAGGTTACCTGGAGAAGCACCTGAGGGGTTGTCTGAAGAGGCGTTCCATCTGCTGGGTCGATTGCTCTGCCACTGACTACCATAACTGGAAGGCGGCTGTTCCTGTGCTTGCTGCTGCTGCTGCTGCTGCTGCTGCTGCTGCTGCTGCTGCGCCTGCTGCTGCTGCTGTGCCAGCTGCATAGATTGGGGAGGCGGCTGCGGCTGCGGCTGCGGCTGCGGCTGCTGCTGTCCCAGCAGTTTACTAAGCTGAGCCAGCTGCTCAGGGGTGAACTGGGGAGGCGACACCACCTGCTGCTGCTGCTGATGCTGTTGCTGGGGAGGGAGGGGAGGAAGAGGAGGGCCGGGAGGCCTCTGGGGGAACTGCCCTCCGACCGGGGGAGCAGGGGGCAGCGGAGGTGGCACTGAGGAGAAATCCCTTTTCATCCCACCCATGCCTGCGGCGGACGGGGGGAAACCCATACCCATGCCGGGACCAGAGGAGACAGGTGCAGTGGCATTGCCAGGAGTAGCAGCAGCACCGGCAGCAGCAGCACCAGTGCCGGTAGCAGGGGCAGGGGATGCGGCCGGAACGTTCAGCTTCGGAAGCAGAGACGATAGAGACGCAAGGAGCTCAGGGGTGATCCCAGCAGGTAAACCCGACCCAGAAAAGCCTGCTCCAGTAGCACCCTGCCCTGCACCCGCCCCTGCCCCTGCCCCTGCCCCTGCCCCTGCCCCTGCCCCTGCCCCTGCTGCTGCTCCCTCGGCGCCTCCCCCAGCCATACCCACTGGGGGGCGTATCAACTGAAGTGCCGCCGGGGGGATGGGGGAGGCAGAAGAACGGGCATTGGGAGGGACCGGGGGTGTGAAAGCCGGGGGTAGGTAACCAGGTAATCCGGGACCTGCACCAGGGGCACGAGGCAAGGGAACGGCGGATGGGTGCATTGGCGCTTGCAGAGGTCTCTGGGGGGGTGAAAGAGGCTGGGCGGAAACGCCTCCAACCCCCTCTTGGTGCTGCTGCTGCTGCTGATGCTGCTGCTGCCACCTAAACGACGAGGCTCCAGTTTGCTGCTGCTGCTGCTGACCGGGGCCCTGCTGGTTTGGAGGCAAAGGCGGTCTCCCTGGGTGCCCTTGGGGCATCAGCCCTGCGTGGGGGAGGGGAAGCGGGGGCCCCTGCGGAAGAGGACTGGGAGTAACCAGCCCTGGGGAAGAACCCAAGCGAAGCGCTGGCGCAGCAAGAGCAGCAGGTACAGCAGGAGCAACAGGAGCAATAGGCGCAGCAGGAGCAGCAGCAGCAGCAGGAGCAGCGGGGGCAGCGACGTTGAGGTAGACTCCAAAGAGTGAGTCATTCCTGGGCACTTGGAGGACGGAAACGGCAAAGTCAGACGGCGGGACGAGGAAGAGCGTGGAGCCGTCAGGCAGCTTCGCCACTCCTGCACGGCGTTTCTCCCCCAGGTACTGCACGAGGTCGTGGTAGGGAGGGACGTCCGGCTGTGCCTCGGGGATTATTGCTACCACTCCAAAGTCCGCCGCTGCCCGCACGTGCTTCGCGAGAGTATCCAGTTCTGTGCGGGCCGAGCAGTTCAGCACGTCCGGCCTGGGGGTAGAAGAGCAGGAGGAGAGGGAGGGAGAGAGCGGGGAATAGCGGAGGAAACAAGGCGGCACAAGGAGGGGAGGGGAGGGGGATGGAAGTAGGGGAGGAGAGTGAGAGTGAGGGAAGCAGGTTGAGTCGAGAGGGTGTCTCCCAGCCCAGGTACTGCACGAGGTCGTGGTAGGGCGGCACGTCCGGCTGTGCCTCGGGGATGATTGCCACCACTCCGAAGTCCGCCGCTGCCCGCACGTGCTTTGCCAATGTGTCTAGCTCAGTGCGCGCTGAGCAGTTTAAAACGTCCGGCCTGGGAAAGGGGGAAAATGAAGGGGGGGGTCAGGGGAGGGAGGAAGAGAGGGGGAAACGGGACCGGAGACAAGTCGGCACAGGGAGGGAAAGAGGGGACAGTGGAAGTGAGGGGAGCAGGATGAGATGAGAGGGCGCTTCTCCCCCAGGTACTGCACGAGGTCGTGGTAGGGGGGCACGGCCGGCTGTGCCTCGGGGATGATGGCCACCACTCCGAAATCCGCTGCTGCCCGCACGTGCTTCGCTAGCGTGTCTAGCTCCGTGCGGGCCGAGCAGTTTAAAACGTCCGGCCTGGGGGGAGGGAGCGGTGAGGGGCGGAACCAGCCGTGATGGCCAGGATAATGGTTGAAGAAATAGGCAAGAAAACAAAGCATGCCCACACACGCACGCACTCACAGGCAATCGCGAAAGGAGTGTTTTTTTTTTTTTTTTTTTTTTAAGGTGTTTTATGGATGCCAGAGGACATACATGGGTGCAGAGATGCCTGGACCAATGGGAATCGCCCGCGCATGGCACACGAGAATCCCCCCCTTGGCCAACGTCCCTTTCCAATGCGACCCCGCGCCACCTGAAGCTCCAACCGCCCGAGCCAGCCCTCCAGGCACGGAACCAGGTCCGGGAGGAGGCACGGGGCCAGGAAGAGCCCCAGGGAAGCCCGGACGGCCCGGCATGGGAGGTCCGGTGACGGAAGAAACAGCAGAAACAGCAGGAGAGGCAGCAGAGACAGCTGGGGGCATGACAACATCCCAACCACTGCTTCTGCGGCTGGGAGGGCCATGCGGGGGAGGGCCATGCGGGGGAGGCCCATGCGGGGGAGGCCCATGGGGAGGATGAGAGTCATAAGACGGGCCATGAGGAGGAGGCAGAGGGCCCCCTTCGCGATCATCGTAAAAGCGGCCGCGGTTATCGGGATCAAACTGGCCGTCCACTCGTGGACGCTTGGAGTCATACACCCGCTGCCACTCCCGCTCATCCCTCTCATCTCTCTCATCCCACCCGTCTCTCTCGTCCCACCCATCCCTCCCATCCCTCCCGTCCCGCCAGTCCCGCTCATCTCTCTCCCAGTCCCTCTCCCTACCCCTGTCCCACTCCTCCCTCTCCCTCTCCCAATCCCTATCCGCCCAAACTCGCCCCTCTCCTCGCCCCCCTCCTCGCCCCCCTCCTCTCCCCCCTCCTCTCCCCCCTCTGTCAGGCCCACGGGGGGGCGACTCCCACGCCCCATCACCATCCCCCTCCTCCCACCCTTCCCTACCTCTCCCTCCTCTCCCTCCCCTCACCCTCCTCCCCTTCCCCTTCCCCCTCCCTCTCCCCCGACCACCGTACTCCCTATCCCCTCCAAAACCCCGATCCACCTCATACAAACCCCCAGAAACCCCCCCACCGCCCGTCCCTCCTCCCTGCCTGCCCCTCTCACCAAACCCCTCCCCAGCTGCCGCTCCTGCTGCAGCACCTGCTGCACCGCCTGCTGCTGCAGCAGCAGCAGGGGAGGTGAAGGGCGGGTCTGCAGCATGCATGAACGCAAACTCGCTTTTCGAGTACCGGATGTGCACGCGCTCGTCGTTAAACAGCACATGGTCCAGTGCGCGGATCGCATTGGTCGCCTGCTCGCACGTGCCCATCTCCACAAACGCGTACGTGCGCCCCGGGAACGTCTTGATGCGCCGAATCTGCCCGTGCTGGGAAAAGGCCGCGTGGAGCCTCTCCTCTGTGACTGTAAGCGTGCTCGGAAACCCCACCCATAAAATCTCACTGGGAGACCCATCCCCTCCCCCTCCCCCCCCCACCACCTCCTCTACCACCACCACCACCACCGCCGCCGCCGCCGCCGCCGCCGCCGCCGCCGCCACCGCCGCCTCCTCCAGCATGCGGGCCTGATTTCGCAAACTCCACTCGGAACACCCCGCCGTCGCGCGTGCGGACGTTGTTGATCGACGCCACGGCGGCCTGAGCGTCGTCTTCAAAGCGGTAGTCGACAAAGGCGCAGGCGCGGTCGGGGTGGAAGCGCAGGTCCTCGATGGGGCCGAAGCGCCGGAACTCCGCGTCGATCTCCTCGGGGATTACATGTGCTGGCCCCCACCCCACCCACACCACCCGCCGCACCCCTGCTGCTCGTGGCCTCTCCGGGCGCTCCTTCTCCTTCGGCTGGCTGGCTGCTGGTGCCGGCTGCAGGGACAAAATCAGGGCAGGGACGGCAAAGAAAAACACTCAAGGATTGAGTATGGGGCAGCAGAGCCAACAGACACAGCGGCCCGAGCGTCGTCTTCAAAGTGGTAGTCGACGAAGGCGCAGGCGCGGTCGGGGTGGAAGCGCAGATCCTCGATGGGGCCGAAGCGCCGGAACTCCGCGTCGATCTCCTCGGGCACCACGTGCGCCGGCCCCCACCCCACCCACACCACCCTCCGCACGCCCGGCCGTGGCAGCCGCTCCGGGCGCTCCTTCTCCTTAGGCTGACTAGCTGCTGGCGGCTGGAGTAGCGAAAGCGGGGCAGCAAAATAAAAGAAATATGAATACAGGCTTGAGTATGGGGGCAACCAGCCCAGGTGCCCGCGCGCTGCCCTCCAAAAGCATTCCAGAAGCAGCAGTCGGGCGCAATCGTGGTGAAGAAGAGTCAAAAAAAAAAAAAAAAAAAAAAAAAAAAAAAAAACTCACCTGTGGCGCCCCTCCCCTCTTGGACCCCTTGGCACACACGAAATCCACTTTCGATGGAAGCAGGTCCAGACGCAATGGCTACTGAGATTTCTAAGACAAAACAAAAACAAAACAAAAGGGGGGAAAGTACCTGTGGCGCCGCTCCGCCTGTTGACCCCTTGGCATAAGCAAACTCCACTTTCAGCGGCAGCAAGCCCGGGCGCAACGGCTTCCCCGCCAGCACCCGCCTCGCCTCGCTGGCCTGTGCTGACGTGGCCATGTCCACGTAAGCAAACTCTCTCTGGTAGAGAATCGCGAGGCCTTCCACCTGGCCGAAGCGGCCAAACGCGTCTGACAGCTCACGCTCGGCAATATCGAGGGTCACGTTGCCCACCCACAGCTGCCTCGCCTCTCGAGGCCCCTTGCTCTTCCCTGCCTCTCCCGCTCCCCCTCCCCCTCCTCCCCTTCCCCCTTCCTCCCCTCCTCCTTCCGCGCCTCCGCTCCCTCCTCTTCCCCCGCCTCCCCCGCCTCCTTCTCCCCTTCCCCCCGGTGACACTCCCGATTTCATAACCTGCCTCTCGCGTTCCAGCCGCTGTTGATCCTGCTGTTGCGTCAGCTGAGACTGCAAGAACTCGTCAAGCGGCAGTTGCTGTTGCTTATCCCGTTCTTGATCAGACTCATTGTTTTCGCCCCCACCAACTTCTTTCTCCCCACCCCTCTCCCTTTCTTTTTCTCTATCCCTGTCCCTGTCCCTGGAATGACTCCTGTCCCTTTCTCGCTCCCTCTCCCTCTCCCGGCTAGTCTCCCTCTCCCTCTCTCGGTCCGAATCTCTCTCCTTCAAATCCCGATCGCGTTCCCTCTCACCACGATCCCTCTCCTTGTCCCCTTCCCAATCCTTGTCTCGATCCCTTTCTCTCACCCTATCTCTATCCCGATCCCGCTCCCCGGACCTGTCCCGGTCCCTATCTCGGTCTCGTTCGCGCTCTCTATCCCAGTCCCAATCCCGGTCTCGATCCCGCTCTCGATCCCACCGGTCTCGGTCGGCGTGATTGTCATCCTGGACATACGAAGAAAAGGAAGAAATGCTAATGAAATCTCTGCATTTTCCGCGATTTAAGAATCACTGACGTGATTTGACGCGATTTAACGATGCCAGATAGAGCGAATCGGAAGAAAGAGCAGCGACAAAAAATTACTCCGCTGATCTGAAAATAACCGGAAACCCGGATTAGGGGAAAAATACAAAATTGATTTGACACCCGTACCAAGCTTACTTTAGTGTCTGCATTTAATCTTCTTATACGTTCTCAACCGTACAGAGACCATTGATACCCTCGATTCCACTAGAACAATGAGAGGCCATTACCTAACAAAAAATATTCAAGAAAAAAAAAAAACAATTGACGCCATTCATGAACTTTTCTACTTCGACAGAGACCGTTGATACCTGCGATGCGGAACGTCTCTGCATGACGTACAAAGCTTCTTCGCGATCCAAAAACGAACGTTACGGGGGACTGTTGGTGGGAGTAAGGTTGTACCTAAGAGCATCAGCTATTACAATAATCGGAGACGAGATCAGGAAACCTAGAATGGCTTCTGCTTGCGACTCGCATCGCATCTCCAAAACAAGGCTCAAGGAAAAAACCCTGGGATCTCCCATCTTGGCCTTGGGCTCTTCGCAGCCGAAGAACTTCTAGAGCCTTCTCGATATGGTCGTATCTTTTAATTAACATGTTCTACACCACCCGACGACGAAACTCTAATAGCACTTGAATGGCTTTGTCAACCTTTCACATGTCAATCCACAATCCACGACAAAATCATCAACCCATACCTATCTATCTACACAACCTTGCTAGGAAATTGTCAACGTCACATTTCCCCTCACAGGCGCAACCTTTTCCCCTTGGCTTCCATCCGCGTATGCAAATCGAGATTCCTCCATAGAGCCCGAGCCAGCAGCTTCACCATCGGAGGGCACGTGGCGGCAGCAGTGGAGGGTTTTGAGAATCCTCAAATATCACAAGAGCAGCCTTTTCTCCTTGGCTTCCATTCGTGCATGCAGATTGAGATTCTTCGATAAAGCCCGAGCCAGCAGCTTCACCATAGGAGGGCACGTAGCGGAAGCAGCGGTGGCGCGAATTGTGCGGGAAGCTCCGGTGTCGGAGAGAAGGCTGATGTGGTGGGCGGTGTGGCGGGCGTCGGGCATGGTGAGTTGCATGAGGGCAAAGGCTGCACAGGCGCGCAGAGAGGGGGAGGAGCTTCGTAGCATGGCGACAAAACGAGCGATCTCGGCCGCACTGCACCTGAGCAGCCCCGCCTCCTGAATGCGACAGTTCTGGGAAAATTCCATCAATGCAGCATCATCTGCTGCTGCCAGCCGTGCTCCCAGGTGCCGCGTGAACCCCGCCGACATGGGCGGCGGCAGATCTCCTGAACCGGCACCTGAAGAAAAACCTGAAGCGCCGGACGGCCCAGCAGCAGGGGAGGTGAAGGTGCGGGTGCAAGCAGGGCCGTTCCGAGCCGCAGAGCCAGGTGTGGCCGAGCCTGTGGCTCCTCCACCCAGCGCCGAACCATCCTCTTCCTCATCAGAGTCTAATTCAATCGCTCTTCTCCTTCTTCTCCCTCGCCCCCTCCCCGCCCTTCTGCTTCTGGTTGCTGCAGCTGTCCCAGGCAACCCATCCCCCTCATTTTCCTCCGCCTCTTCCTCCCCTTCCTCCTCCTCCAATGCCGAAGCTCTCCTCTTTCTTGACCCTCCCGCTCTCTGCCTGCTCCCTCTGCTCCGAAACTCCCCTTCCTCCTCTTCCTCCATCACCCTCCTCCTCTCCCGCTCCCTCTCCCTCACTCTCTCCCTCGCCCGCTCTGCCTCCTCGCGTTCGTGCAGGAAGCAACTGAGAAACCAGTCAATGACCTGCAGACCAAGGTGCTGCTGCAGCTGCAAGGTTAGGGGGTATTCCAGATCAGGCGCTACTGCTTCCGCCGCTGCCAACATTTCTGCATCTTTGCTGCAAGACGGAAAATGAAGCAGGGTAGGGAGAGAGGTGAGACTATGAGCAAACGGTCCAAGGAGCCTCAGATGGTGTTGCTGCCAAGCAGGGATGCTAATATGCGGGGCATGCCGGGAGGAGGGTATTGAGCATGGTAGATTAGAACTGCTGAGAGATGGGAGGGGGAGAGACAGTGTGCAAAAAAAGAGCCTACCTGCCATCGCACATGTATGCTAGAGCAAGCAAGGCCATGAATCCAGCCATGGGAGAGGAGAGGATATGCCCCAACCATACCCACGTGGTGCACTTTCGACTCTGAACATACCTTCCATCACACATGTATGCTAGAGCTAGTGACGCCATTAATCCAGCCATGGGAGAGGAGAGGATACATCCCAACCCAACCCACATGGTGTGCTTTCGACTCAAAGCCTACCTGCCATCACACATGTATGCCAGAGCAAGCGAGGCCATGAATCCAGCCATGGGAGAGGATACAAGCCGCCCAGCATGATTGGTCAAAGGAGCTGCAGCAGCGGCAGCAGCAGCATCGGCATCGGCTACAGCAGCACGAACAGCAGCGGCCGTCGCAGCAGCACCAGCACCGGCAGCGGTGGCAGCAGCAACAGCACGCAGGGCAGCCGCTGTTGCTGCAGGTGCAGCAGCTATGTTATGATTGTTGGGGAGAACGGGATGGGGAGGATGTGTGCGGGCAGGGGGAGGAGGAGGGGGCTGCGGCAGCAGCTCATGCCAGGCAAAGCCATCAATAGTAGCAACAGCAGCACCAGCACGACCAGCAGCACCAGCACCACCACCAGCACGACCAGCAGCAGAACCACCAGCAGCACGACCACCAGCAGCACTGGGAGCACCAGCAGGGTTTGTAGCGGATGGAAAGGTGTGGGCAGTGGTGGTGCTTCTAGGTGTGGTTGCAGCGGAGGGGGAGTAGGAGCAGGAGGGGGAGGTCGGGTCCGAGGAGAAGTGGGAGAGGGCAGAGGGCGGCAGGGAAGCAGCAATGATTGCGCCCATGATGGGCACGCCACTGTTCACGAGAATGCGGGCGGCGTTGCTTGGATTGAAGGCTAGATTCCAGAGTGCGCCGGTGGCCGTCTCTTGGACCTCCTGAGGGGGAAGCGGGGAAGGATGGGGAAAGAAGGAAAGCACGAGGAGGAGTACGGTTGAATTGAAAGGATGGAGTGGCACACCATGGGAGGGAACAAAGGTGTGGGAACCAGCGGTGTGGAGAAAACAACCCCCAGTGTTGGTGGAAAAATGCCGTACATACAAGCTGCACTGCACTCATCCATAGTCCCCCCCACCCACAACCCCCCCATCCCCATGCTGCACTCTCACTCCATGCTACCCCTTCATCCCCACTACCCGCTCAACCCCTCAACCCATGCTGCACTGACGCACCTGCTTGCGCGATTGGGCAAGGCTGAGCAAAGTCTCCACCCCACCCGCCCGGCCGATGGCCACACTGCATGACCCCATGTTACCCCCCCATTCCCATCCCACTACCACACCCCCCCCCACCCACATCCCCTCAACCTCCTGACCCCATGCTGCACGCACCTGCTTGCGCGACTGGGCAAGGCTGAGCAAAGTCTCCACCCCACCCGCCCGGCCGATGGCCACACTGCACGGGGGTACACAACAGGGCAGAAACGGGAGGAAACAGCGAAAGCAACAAGCTTTATAAGAATGACATGGGAGAATTTGAGTGCAGGGTACGCAACTGGCAAAGACGCACCTGTTGGCTTCGGAGACAGATAGCCCCCACAGGGCGCCGGCGGCTCTCTCCTGCGTGTCCTGCTGCGCCTGGCAGGCACGACTCCTGGGCCAGGCGAACCAATGCCTCTACTCCCCCATCTGCTGCTGCTGCTAATGTGACAGGGCAGGCACAGGGCACCCAGTACTGAACCAGGGCAACCAAGAACGCACCTGTTGGCTTCAGACACAGAGAGGCCCCATAGGGCGCCTGCGGCTCGCTCCTGGGTGTCCTCTGCTGCGCCGGGCAGACACGACTCCTGGGCCAGGCGAACCAATGCCTCTACTCCCCCATCTGCTGCTGCTGCTAATGTGACAGGGCAGGCACAGGGCACCCAGTACTGAACCAGGGCAACCAAGAACGCACCTGATGGCTTCAGACACAGAGAGGCCCCATAGGGCGCCTGCGGCTCGCTCCTGGGTGTCCTCTGCTGCGCCGGGCAGACACGACTCCTGGGCCAGGCGAACCAACGCCTCTACTCCCCCATCTGCTGCTGCTGCTAATGTGACAGGGCAGGCACAGGGCACCCAGTACTGAACCAGGGCAACCAAGAACGCACCTGTTGGCTTCAGACACAGAGAGGCCCCATAGGGCGCCTGCGGCTCGCTCCTGGGTGTCCTCTGCTGCGCCGGGGAGGCACGACTCCTGGGCCAGGCGAACCAGCGCCTCTACCCCCCCCGCTGCTGCTATCGCCTCCCTGTTGCTGTCGTGGAATGATAGATTCCAGAGCGCCCCTGCTCCCTCTTGCCTGTGCCATGGGGGAAGTAGAGGAGAGAAGAAACGGGTTGGGCATCTAGGGATGGGTGCTCTTGCTGATGCTGCTGCTGCTGCGATCGCCTCCCTGTTGCCGTCGTCGATGATTAGGTTCCGAAGTGCTCCTGCTCCTTCTTGCCTGTCCCGTGAAGGGGAACGTGGTGGAGGAGGGAGGTAGAGAGTGAGGAGAATGGGAGTTAACTGAGACTCAAATTGCTGCCCTGCTCTAGCTGTTACTGCTATGGCCTCCCTCCTTCCTAACACGCATACCTTCTGTTCTTCTTAATGGCACGCCCCAATCACCAGATGCGAGGCTGATGTTCTCATCACTGTCACACCCACCTCCCACACCCACCTCCCACACCCACCTTAAACACTCATTGTGGGATTGCAGCAGTGCCACCAGCGCAGGGACAGCCAACGGCTCAGCCCCGACAGCAGCAGCGTTGCGGTTGCAGTCACCGTGAGCAGCGAGATTAGCGAGGGCCCTGGCGGCCTGCTCGAGTTGGAGTCACTTCTGAGAATTCCCTCAAGAGGGCCCTGGCGGCCTGCTCGAGTTGGAGTCACTTCTGAGAATCCCCTCAAGAGGGCCCTGGCGGCCTGCTCGAGTTGGAGTCACTTCTGAGAATCCCCTCAAGAGGGCCCTGGCGGCCTGCTCGAGTTGGAGTCACTTCTGAGAATCCCCTCAAGAGGGCCCTGGCGGCCTGCTCGAGTTGGAGTCACTTCTGAGAATCCCCTCAAGAGGGCCCTGGCGGCCTGCTCGAGTTGGAGTCACTTCTGAGAATCCCCTCAAGAGGGCCCTGGCGGCCTGCTCGAGTTGGAGTCACTTCTGAGAATCCCCTCAAGAGGGCCCTGGCGGCCTGCTCGAGTTGGAGTCACTTCTGAGAATCCCCTCAAGAGGGCCCTGGCGGCCTGCTCGAGTTGGAGTCACTTCTGAGAATCCCCTCAAGAGGGCCCTGGCGGCCTGCTCGAGTTGGAGTCACTTCTGAGAATCCCCTCAAGAGGGCCCTGGCGGCCTGCTCGAGTTGGAGTCACTTCTGAGAATCCCCTCAAGAGGGCCCTGGCGGCCTGCTCGCGCACGAGGTCATGCTGGCACCCCACCAGCACATGCTCTCCTTACAGTCAGTCACACGGTCACACCCCACCCACCTTAAGCTTTCGTTCGTTGACTGTAACAAAGCAACCAGTGCAGGGACAGCAGTGGGCTCGGCCCCCACAGCAGCAGCGTTGCGGTTGCAGTCACCGTGAGCTGCCAGATTAGCGAGAGCCCTAGCGGCCTGCTCGCACACGAGGTCATGCTGGCACCCCACCCCACCAGCAGCTCTCCTCACAGTCAGTCACACGGTCACACCCCACCCACCTTAAGCTTTCGTTCGTTGACTGTAACAAGCCAACCAGTGCAGGGACAGCTGTGGGCTCGGCCCCCACAGCAGCAGCGTTGCGGTTGCAGTCACCGTGAGCAGCGAGATTAGCGAGGGCCCTGGCGGCCTGCTCGCGCACGAGGTCATGCTGGCACCCCACCAGCACCCGCACCAGCGCCGCCACCCCTCCCCTCTCCACTATGGCCGTGCTGCACCCATCGTCCACTGCTAGATTCGCCAGGGCGCCTGTTACTCGCTCCTGTACACAGGGGAAGGAGGGGGAAGGGGCCGAAAGTGGGAGAGACGGTGCGAAACGGGCGTGGGAAATGGTTGGTTGGGGGGCTAGCAGGTGCGGTTGCGGTAGCAGTGAGGTCATGCTGGCACCCCACCAGCACGCGCACCAGTGCCCCCACCCCTCCCCGCGCCACTATGGCCGTGCTGCACCCATCGTCCACCGCTAGATTCGCCAGGGCGCCTGTTACCCGCTCCTGGTGGTGGAGGATGGGGGAAGGAGGGGGCAGGTGGGGGGGTTGGGGGTGTGAGGGTTGAAACGGAAGAAGGGAGATGTCAGGAGGAAGGGGCGGGGGGGTGGGAGGAGGAGGGGGATTGGAGTGGAAAAAGGGTGATGTGTCAGGGCATGGGCGGGGGAAGGGGTTGACTGAGGTTGTGGTTGCAGTGCTCTCTTGAGGGGTTGATGTCCCTCAAGAGGGCCCTGGCGGCCTGTTCGAGCACGAGGCCGTGGCGGCATCCCACCAGCACGCGCACCAGCGCCTCCACTCCTCCCTCACCCAGCAGGAGAGACGATGATGAAAATGATGTGACGACAGAAAGGGAGAGAAAATGTACGGAATTTCGAGTGCATTGAGTGCTACAATTCACAGCCAAGCAAAGCGGGAGAGGAAGATTAAAAGAGGACACATGCAAGTCAAGAAAAGGCAACAGAGAAAGAGAGGAGAGGAGGGTCTATCGGACGAAAGGAGGAGGAGGGGAGTAGGAAAGGAGGCGAGGAGGAGAGGAGGGTGGGAGGACTCACGAGGACACAGTCCCCTGGAAGGCCGAGAGCAGGAGGGGGAGTGGTGGCCATGAGGTCAACCAGGAGGAAAGGAGGGTTGAAAGAGAGAAGGCGAGGAGGCGAGGTGAAAGTGGAGGGTTGGAGGTTTGAAGAGGGTCAGAGGACTGGAAAAAAAGAAGGGTGGGAGGACTCACGAGGACACAGTCCCCTGGGAGGCCAAGAGCAGGGGGGGGAGCGGTGGCCATGAGGTCAACCAGTGTGGCGATGCCCCCCGCGCGCATGATGTACGCCTGAGGGCGATGGGATGGGGGGGGGGGGGGGGAAGGGGCGGAGAAAAGAGGATTCTAGTTCTGAGTTTGTTTGCTTTGAAAGAAGAAAGTGGCCATAAGGGGTCAACCAGTGTGGCGATGCCCCCCGCCCGCATGATGTACGCCTGAGGGCGATGGGATGGGAGAGGAAAGAAGGAGTAAAAGGGAGGAGGGGAAAGGAGGGGAAAGGAGGGGAAAGGAGGGGAAAGCACACCAAGAAGCGTGAAGGAAGGAATGCACCCACGATGGGCCAGTAAAGAGAACCAAGCATGTATGGCTCAACCTTCTGGAGGTTGTTTTTGATAATTCTCAAAAACAACCCATGACAAGCCAGTAAAGAGAACCACGCATGTATGGCTCAACCTTCTCAAAAGGCAAATCGCAACCGCAGCACCCCTCGTTTGACAATATTGAAATCACTTTTGAGATTTCTCAAAAGTGATTTCAAGTGAACCAAGCATGTATGGCTCAACCTTCTCAAAAGGCAAATCGCAACCGCAGCACCCCTCGTTTGACCCAACACAACACAGACAAACCCACCCACCTTGTACTCATCATCCACTGATAGGTTCCACAGCGCCCCTGCAGCAGCCTCGGCAATACAGCCATTAAATGGAAGAGAGGAGTGTTTGTCTATTGTGTCAACTCAAGAGTCATTCGAGTGACCCACCTTGTACTCGTCATCCACTGATAGGTTCCAGAGCGCCCCTGCAGCAGCCTCGGCGATACAGCCGTTGGGGTGAGTGAGGAGTGTTTGTCTTTTGTGTCAATCAATCAACTCAAGAGTCATTGCTTGCAATGACCCACCCACCTTGTACTCGTCATCCACTGATAGGTTCCAGAGCGCCCCTGCAGCACTCCCGCGCCCCCACTCGAGCCACTCCCCGCACCCTCATCACCTCCCATGAGACGAGTCCATACCCAAAGTCTTTCGAGTGACCCACCTTGTATTCATCATCCACTGATAGGTTCCACAGCGCCCCTGCTGCAGCCTTGGCGATACAGCCGTTGGAGTGAGTGAGGAGGGAGAGCAGCACTCCCACTCCCCCCACCCTCACCACCTCCCTTGCCACGTCCACGCTCACTGACAGATTCGCCAGGGCCTGATGTGTGGGGAGGTGGAGGGGGAAAGGGGTGGGGTGGAGGGATGGGGTTTGATTACCATTAGCTTGTTCTCGACACCTTCCCCCACGCTCACCACCTCCCTTGCCCCGTCCACACTCACTGACAGATTCGCCAGGGCCTGAGGGGTGGGGCGGTGGGGCGGGAAAGGGGTGGATGGAGGGATGGGAAAGGGAAAGGGTGTTTGAATAATGTAAGCTTGCTCTTGAAAGCTCCCCCACGCTCACCACCTCCCTTGCCACGTCCACACTCACTGACAGATTCGCCAGGGCCTGAGGGGTGGGGCGGTGGGGCGGGAAAGGGGTGGGGTGGAGGGATGGGAAAGGGAAAGGGTGTTTGAATAATGTAAGCTTGCTCTTGAAAGCTCCCCCACCCTCACCACCTCCCTTGCCACGTACACGCTCACTGACAGATTCGCCAGGGCCTGATGTGTGGGGAGGTGGAGGGGGAAAGGGGTGGGGTGGAGCGATGGGGTTTGATTACCATTAGCTTGTTCTCGACACCTTCCCCCACCCTCACCACCTCCCTTGCCACGTCCACACTCACTGACAGATTTGCCAGGGCCTGAGGGGTGGGGGTGGGGCGGGAAAGGGGTGGGGTGGAGGGATGGGGTTTGATTACCATTAGCTTGTTCTCGACACCTTCCCCCACCCTCACCACCTCCCTTGCCACGTCCACACTCACCGACAGATTTGCCAGGGCCTGGTGTGTGGGGAGGTGGGGCGGGAAAGGGGTGGATGGAGGGATGGGAAAGGGAAAGGGTGTTTGAATAATGTAAGCTTGCTCTTGAAAGCTCCCCCACCCTCACCACCTCCCTTGCCACGTCCACACTCACTGACAGATTCGCCAGGGCCTGGTGTGTGGGGCGGTGGGGCGGGAAAGGGGTGGGGTGGAGGGATGGGGTTTGATTACCATTAGCTTGTTCTCGACACCTCCCTTGCCACGTCCACACTCACTGACAGATTCGCCAGGGCCTGATGTGTGGGGAGGTGGAGGGGGAAAAGGGAGGGGACGGGGTGGGTTGAAAGGGTGTTGTAACTGTCAGCATGTCCGTACCACAACCCCATTCACACCCTAACTGCCTTTTGAGACGTCTCAAAAGTCAGCATGTCCGTACAACAACCCCATTCACACCCTAACTGCCTTTTGAGACGTCTCAAGAGTCAGCATGTCCGTACAACAACCCCATTCACACCCTAACTGCCTTTTGAGACGTCTCAAGAGTCAGCATGTCCGTACAACAACCCCATTCACACCCTCACTGCCTTTTGAGACGTCTCAAGAGTCAGCATGTCCGTACAACAGCCCCATTCACACCCTAACTGCCACATACAAGCCCTCACCCTCACACACCTTAGTCACCCCATGCAGCCCCATTCATACCCTAATCCCCCACTCGCTACCTTCGTTGCTTCGAACCGTGGCCCCTCGGGCCCGTGCCGGCCTGCCATGTGAACCATCACCTCCACTCCGCCCAGACACACAGACACACTCACACCACACACCAGCACCACCACTAGCCCTAACTGCCACATATAAGCGCTTCCGTACCTTGGTTGCTTCGAAGCGTGGTCCCTCGGGCCCATGCCGGCCTGCCATGTGAACCAGCACCTCCACTCCGCCCCCTCGCATAAACGCACAGTCGCACAGACGCACTCACACCACAAACCAGCAACACCTCTAGCCCTAACTGCCACATACAAGCCCTCCGCACCTTGGTCGCCTCGAAACGTGGTCCCTCTGGCCCGTGCCGGCCTGCCATGTGAACCAGCACCTCCACCCCGCCGCCTCGCACGAACGCACAGACACACAGACACACTCACACCACAAACCAGCACCACCACTAGCCCTAACTGCCACATACAAGCCCTCACGCACCTTGGTCGCCTCGAAGCGTGGTCCCTCTGGCCCGTGCCGGCCTGCCATGTGAACCAGCACCTCCACCCCGCCGCCTCGCATAAACGCACTCACCCGCCCACTGCTCCCCCCCTCCCCCACTCCTGCACTCTCACCCATCACCAAATCCCACCTGTCCCCCTGCCGCCCTGCCCTTCCCCTTCCTTCCCCTCCTCCCTCTCCTCCTCCTCCGGCCCCTCCCGCTCCTCTCCACTCCCCTGCCCCCATCCCACCACCTCCCCCCACCCTCCCCCCTGCTCCTCTCCCTCCCTGCCCTGCTCCCACCTCTCCCTCCTCCTCTTCCTCCCCCTCCTCCACCTCCACCCCCACCTCCTCCTCCTCGAATCCAGCCCCAATAGAATCAGCGACCACAAAGACTCCCACAGTGGCGGCTGCTCTCTCTCGCACCTCCTGCTGCCGGCTCTGCAGCAGCAGCAGCACGGCCGGAACGCCCTGACTCACCCAGAAATCCTCCCTCGCCTCCCACCCTCTCCCTACCCCTCCTCCTCCTCCCGCTGCTGCTGCTTCTCCTCCTCCTCCTCCTCCTCCACCTCCTCCACCTCCCCTCTCTCCCACCCCCCCTTCACCACCTCTGACACCCCCTCCTCCTGCCCCATCCCCTTGCCTTCCTCCTCCCGCCCCTCCTACCCCCACAACACCTCCCTCTCCCCCCCGTCCCCTTCCCCCTCCCCGTCTCCCTCCCCCCCACCCCCACGCCCCTTCCCACCCCATTGGCTCCAACCTTTCCGCCAATGAGTGCAGAGCTCGCACCAGAATCAGCTCCGTCCAATCAGAGAGCTCCACGCAGGCACTGCGGGGCCCACCGCCGCCCAGAGCCCTGGTGATGTGGAGCACGAGTGCTCTGACCTGGCTCTCTTCCGACGCAGCAGCGCTCTCTTCTGAAACAGCAGCGCCCTCTGCGGATGGGGCTGAGAACATGGGTGTGTGCGTGGTTTCCTCCTCCCTCGCTGGCGTGCTTGCTGCTGCTGCTGCTGCTGCTGCTGCTGCTGCTGCTGCAGTTGCTGTTGCAGTCGCGGCTGCTGCTGCTCTTCCTGCTCCTCCTCCTCCTGCTGCTGGTGCTGCTACTTGTGGTGCTGCCTCTGCATCTGCCGCTCCTCTTCCTCCACCTATTCCTCTTCCGTGTCCCCCTCCTCGAGCTCCACCTCTTCTATTTCCAGAGGCAGCAGCAGCGGTGGCGGCTGTAGCAGCAGCTGGGGCTGTAGCGGCAGTGGCGGCTGCAGCAGCAGCGGCGGCGGCAGCAGCTGTAGCAGACCTGGTCTGCCGTCCAGAAGGAGTCTGACGTGCGGCTGCTGCCGTGCCTGCTGGTGGTGTTGCTGCTGATCGTGCTAGTCTTGCTGCTGCTGCTGCTGCAGCTGCTGGTGTTGCAGCTGTTGGTGTAGCTGCTGCTGCTGGTGTGCCTACAGATGGCACTGTTGATGATGCTCCTGCAATAGGATTGGCAGACGTCGCTGCTGCGGCAGACGTGCTAGCATTTCTAGATCCATCATTCCCATTCCCAACCTCTGCCCCAGGCTCGGCAGCTCCCGAACCTGCCACAGGGCGTGCTGCTGGTTGCCGAGGCTGGTAGAAACTCCAGAGGCAGGAAGGGTCGCTGCAGGAAAGGGCAAGCGCGAGGAGAGCCAGACGAAGATCGCCGTACCGGAATAGCAAAAGACAAGGCTTGCTAGGCATTTTGATGGCCTCGTGAAAGGTCTCCAGCTCAGGACAGCTGAAGGCTGCTACCAACAGGATGGAGGGAGATGCGAGGATAAGGTTGACAGCTTCGGGAGAGATGTCCGAACGTGACACGTCCATGGCTCGCAGGTTCGGCAGCCGAGCCACGTCCGAGGCTGCCCGATGCCAGGACACGTCCGAGCCTGACAGCGACAGGTACCGGACCTGTTGTAGAAGCGACAAGCCTCCGCGATCCTCAAACCTGAGACAGTTAACGAGCGAGAGATTGTATAGGCGCGGGCAGTGCCGTGCTAGGGCAGCAAGGCAGGCCAAATCAACTCTCCGTAGTCCGTTTAAATGGAGATCCTCTAAACGCGGACAGGATTCCGCCAGCACGCAGATCGCGTCAGGGGACAGCCTGTCGCAATGGGAGAGCGACACCTGGCGCAGGCGCGCGTGGCGGCCGAGGATAAGCCCGAGGGACGCGTCAGAGAGATCGCCGCATGACCCAGCAAGAAGGTGCTGAAGGGACGAGCCTGGGGGAGAGGCATGGGCCGAGCCTGATGACGGGCGTCGAAAAGATGTCCAAGGGAAGTCCCTAGAAGAGCCCTCACAAGCTCGCATGCCGGTTCCATTTGTGCCCCTGAACGGGTTTCCAGTGCCTGTGCTGCTGTTGTTGCTGCCACTGCCACCCGCTCTATCAGGGCCATTAGCGCTGGCACCACCAGCAGAAGGAGCAGCAGCAGCAGCAGCAGGAGCAGAAGGAGGGGGAGAAGTAGGAAGAGGAGCCGCTGAACTAGCAGCAGCGCCACCAGCAGAGGCTCCGGCCCCAATCCCAGCACGAGAACCCCCGGGAAACCCTTCCAAAACCTCTCCACACCTGTCAAACCTCTCAAACCCAGCAGCAAGCCTGGCCACCGCTCGGAGCGACTCTGCCCCTTTCACATGCACGCGAGTCAACGCCCCTGCGCACCTCACAGCCAGGGAATCCGCAGCAGCGGCAGAGAGAGGGGGGTAGCAGCGGAGATCAAGGGCGGTCCAGAGGGAGGGCGCGAAGGAGAGGTGGCACCAGGAGGAGCAGGCACAGGATGCTTGGGCCAGGTCGCGGAAGGCAAGGAGGGAGAAGATTCGGAGGGTGATTTCGGCTGGAAGGGAGGTCCAGTCGGGGGGGTGTGTGCGTGCTGGGTGCTGCTGCTGCTGCTGGGCTGCTGGGTCGTTCAGTGTGGAAGGTGGTGCTTCTGTGGCTGGGTGATGCTGGCTGGTGCTGGCCTGTTGTTGCTCTTTCTCCTTCTGCTTCTGCTTCTGCTGCTTGTGCTTCTGCTGCTGCTGCTGCTGCTGCTGCTGCTGCTTCTGCCCTGCCCGCTCCTGCTCCTTCCCAACCTCGACTTCGTCTTCCTTCAGCTTCTCCTCCTGCTGATCCTGCCGCTGCTGCTGCTGCTGCTGCTGCTGCTCCCTCTCCTCCTCCTCCCCTTCCTCCTCCTCGTACCCCTCCCCACCCTCCTCCTCCTCGTCCACCAATTCAAACACCTCCTCACACCTCTCCACCAACTTAATCTCCTCACCAACTTTCTCATCCTCTAATAACCCTACCTCCTCACGCATTCCCAGCTGCCCTACCTTCTCAACCAACCCATCCACTCCCTGTCCTTCACTCCCCTCCTCTCCTCCTCTTTCCCTTTCTGTCATATCCATCGACCATAATAAGGCGTCTCCTCCGCCTCCTCCGCCGGCCGCGTCAGCAATCCACGCTTCCGCCTCCGTCTCCGCCGCTACTGCGTCCAGTCGCGCGGAAACCACGCTCACCCCGCGCGCGCAACCAGCATGCCCTCCGCCAGCGCTTGCGCCGGCGCCAGCGGAAGAGCCGCTTTGCTGCCGAGCTAGCGCGGATGAGGCGTGCGCTTCCGCGGACAAGGCGGGAACTTCCGCCGGCGAGCGCGGAGCGACTGCGGCGGAGGAACTGGGCGCGGAGTCGGGGGTGAAGCGCGCAGATGCGGTAGAGGACGCGGACGACGGACCCGGAGGCGGAGCTTCCGCGGAGACTTCGAGCAAAGGGGGAAGCGCGAGCGAGTTCCGCGATCCTGCGCGATGAGCGGTGGTGTCGGCATCAGCTAAAGCGCGATGCGGAAGCGCAACGTCGGAAGAAGTCACAGAGGCAGTAGCCGGAGTCGCAGCAGCGGAAGTAGTCGCAGCGGGATTCGCAGGAGTCGCAGAACAAGTCGCAACAGAAGCGGTGGTCGTAGCCACGAGTCTGACGATCCCGCCTGGCGTGTCCGCGCAAGCTGAACGACCCATTCTCGAGCCTCGCAATCGGCCTCTCTGACTGCCAGGTGTCACCTCCTCATTGGTTACCGCTGCAACGGCGCCTGAAACCTCCACTTCAGGGGTAGCGCTGGTTCCTCCCGTGCGTCGCTTCGTCCGTCGCGTCATGACGCAGTCGCAATCACCTTCACGAAAGCGCCTTGCGAAACAACCGAACAAAGGAGAAGCTCGGTAAGGACAGACTCAGGAAGATAAAAGGAACCATGGTAACAAGTTTAAAAAACTCATACTATCATCGCCAGGACAGTCTCGCGGCACGAAACGTCAGAAGGGCTGAGCACTGATAGGGACTGGAAAGCTCCGCTTGCTGAAAAGAGAGCCAATCGCAAAGCTAGGTCGCTGCACAAATGCTCCTGAACCGACGTCTCCGCATCAGCACGGAATCCGAAGGAGGATCCGTAGACGCGGGAGCAGCTAATGAAGAACAGAAATGGCTTCCGTGAAGGCAGTCAGCAGAAACTAAGGAACTACCGTAGGTTCTCCACTCCACCAGAGAGGGACTGGACAGAAACTTGTGGTGGTAGTTCCAGAATCTGTACATCCTGAATCAGGCGAGTGCTGCTGGTGTGCTTAGGGGTTGAAATAGAAATCACTCCGGTACACCTACAAAAGGCACCTATCCTGAAGATTTGGTTGTAGAGGAACAAGTTATAAGAATCTTAAGAATTTATTACAAGATTGGTTCTGATTGTACAGCGCGAATGAAGCAGCCTCCAGAGGCCAAACCAAAAAATATCCTATAATACACATTCACTTCTAATGACCAATTTCTAGCAAAATGTATTGTTTGTCTACATTGGTTATTACAGAAAAACTCCATTGCGCCACCCATAGTAGATATTCGCAGGAAAATATGATACGATCGAATGCTATAAATATTTTCTTTTAGGCTGGTTAGTATTATCAGTTACGAGGCAACCTGCAACCGCAAAATCACTGTCGGATAACCATTGAGGGGAACGACAGAGTAACAAACTCGCACAGATTATCGCGATTTTTGTCGTTTAAACCTCACACGTGATTCCCTCTTGTTGGCGAAGAACACCTGCTTACGTGGACTACGAGCTATCCTTATCTTTGGAACGGGAGCCCCAGAATCATCCGTAACTCGATTTCGGACGCTATTCGTCCGTTGGATGCGATCCACATGTCGAATCGAGGGGTCCCAAAATCGCTGACAATTTGCCTCCACAACCAAACATCGAGCTCAGGCACCTAGTGACTTGGGGAACCACATAGGGACCACTTCCGATCTTCCTCGGGAATTCAGCAGCTCTCCTCAATTCGCCGATCTCACCCATCTCAGCGCAATCCCTGGTTGTCATTCACCCTGAAGCAATGGCTGCCGCTGCTTCCATGGCTACCAGCGTTGCCCTGAAGAGCCTCAGCTCTTCCTTCTCCGGTGCGGCCGTCGCTGCTCCCCAGAAGGCTGTGGCCGCCAAGGCCGGTGCCTTCACCTGCCGTGCCCAGAAGTCCGAGGAGGAGGTTGTTGTCTCCCGCAGGAACGCTGTGACCCTCCTCGCTGGTGCCGCTGCTGCCCTCACCCTGAAGGCTGCCCCCGCTCATGCTGCCTATGGCGAGGCTGGTACGTCTCGGAGCTCGTTCCCATCCTCGCCAACCTTCCCGCTGCGTGAAAGCTCGTTGTCACACATGCATGCGCTTTACTCATGTGCCTTAAGCAGATTTACAGTAGGCTTAGAACGTTGACTCAGCTGTTCACTATCCCTCCTCCCTTGGCAGCCAACGTCTTCGGCAGGGGCCCCGGCAACACCGACTACATTCCCTACCAGGGCGCCGGTTTCTCCATTAACCTTCCCTCCAAGTGGAACCCCAGCAAGGAGGTCGGCGAGTTCGCCAACATCGTCCTGAGATATGAGGACAACTTCGATGCCCTCGCTAACGTGGTCGTCATTGCTGAGCCCACCAGCAAGTCCTCCATCAGCGACTTCGGCTCCCCCGAGGAGTTCCTTGAGAAGGTAAATCTTTTTTAACTGCACATTTTAGGTTCCACTCCAAGCTGGTTCGACGGTACCTACTGTTATAGCGCCTTCTAACGTCTGCTTTATTTTGTTCTGCAGTACAAGAACCTCCTCGGTGTCCAGGTCTTCTCTGGTGAGACCGCTTCCGAGGGTGGCTTCGAGAAGAACGCCGCTGTTACCGCTTCCGTGCTGGAGTCTTCATCCGAGAAGGCGAACGGCAAGACCTACTACAAGCTGAACGTTCTCACCCGTACTGCTGACGGCGGTGAGGGTGGCCGGCACCAGCTGTTCAACGCTGCCGTGTCCAACGGCACGCTTTACATCTGCAAGGCTTCCTCCGGTGACAAGAGGTGGTTCAAGGGTGCCAAGAAGTTCGTGGAGGGCACCATCGCCTCCTTCTCTGTCGCTTAGATTGTGATATAATGTCAATTTTGCGATATAAACACCAGTAATTCAGTCGTTTTGCACATATTTCACGGATTTTGTCAACTACCATGTAACCGTGGCAAGGATAATCAAAGAGCGTACATGCATTTGCTAACAGCAAAAACACGTAACAGCATTTGCCTATGAGAACATGAGGTGAAAGCTCCCTTGCTAGATCCTGCATTTTCAACAGATTATTTGTGAGCCTAAAGAAGTTGACATTGACACTAGCAAGGAGGCAATGCAGGGGAAGTGCCATACAATGGAGATGGTGCTGGCGCTGGTGAAGGTGAAACTGCCGGGGATGGAGCAGGAGCCGGGCTTGGTGCAGAAACTGGGCTAGGAGCAGGAGCAGGTGCGGGACTAGGAACTGGGACAGTCAATAGCCCCGTTGCATTGACATGCAGCCTGAACTGCAAATATGAGTTACCAGCTAAGCCTAGAAGGCCTGAACCAGCCTGAACAGCTTGAAGCACATCCCTGCACACAAATAGTAATGGCAAATAAAAATTACACAGATTCGTACAAACGTACAGTGCATCCAAGCATTTGATAACACACCTAACCCGGACAATAGGGTTTGAGTCAGCCATCAGCAGAAGAGAATCATTCTGCATAACAATCATGGAGACAAGGGTGAGCATAGATCAGAGTCTAGCAAACAAAAAAGATGTTGAGATGAGAATGAAATCCACTCGCACGTACAGTTCCAGATATCTGACCAGCGACATTTGTGATTTGATTGCTGGGGATGTCCACGTTGACGTTCTTCAGATCCACATCTTCACCGAAATACTTTCCAGTAACCCGTCCAAACAGAACTGAGGCGTTTTTAGGGGTGAAGGTAAAGTTCCCTTCCGGGCTGGTTGTGAAATTCCCACCTGCTCAAAGCATTCTCCATGTTACGTCACTTGAAGGAGCTGCGCGCTGGAAATCGAAGGGATTTACCACCTACCAGATACGGTGAGGTTGACATCTGTTGCAGTGAAGTTTGCAAGAGGAATAGCGGCGCCAGGCCCTATGAGTGCGACTTGGAGCTGAGGGGGTATGGTTGTAAAGCTACTGCGAACCCATGTCCACTCGACCTGCATGCATCCCACGCGGAACCATAACACGTTGTATCAACAATCTCAGCCTGTTGCAACGAACGAATCTCAAGGAGAAAGACGTACCGTGGAAATGTAAGCACGACCCTACCTGCTGGGTCGATGGGGAGAGGGCGAGTTTGAGCGCGACAGGTCCTTTGAGCAGAAACGACGGAGGGCCCACAACCAGTCGCAGGCCGGATGCGCCTCCAGCTTCCCAAGACGAATTCGAGGCTTCAGGAACCGCCTGGCCTCCGTGAGAAACAGAAATGGCATGAAGTTTTCTAATTCGAACGTTTCGACGACTGGAAGACGACTCGTTTAGCGATAAAATAACTTACCTGCAGCACGGTGCCCTGAGCCCCTTGCCCATTTGCTGAGTCAACAAGTAGCGTGAAAACGAGACCAACAAGGCAGAGACAAGCAAGCAGTTTTCCCAACAAGCTTTTCGTTCCAAGGGAGATTGGTGACGCAGAGCAGAAACACGAAACGGGGGGAGCCATTTTGGGATTCTGAGTGGTGCGGCAAAGATGACGGCGAGCGAGGAAATAAACGCGCAATGCACATCAGCGGCTATATGGCTGTGTTAGTGTTGAATCGGACCAATCTCAGGAATTCGTTTCCGAGTGCCGTGACGGCCAGCCGTCAACAAGTGGTTATAACATAACCAGGCGATTTGGCTTTCACCTCGTTGGGTCGCATGACGTTTCGCACAGCGGGGGAGTGACACGTAGGGAATGGAACGGCTGGAAGCAAACTGAAATTAATTATATTTTTTTGCCGAGGAAAATGAGATGACGCACCTAATACAAGTGATGAGATTCACTATATTAGAAACACAGTACCGGTACAACAAACTCTAAAAACAATTACCCAAGCAAAATTATTCTCTCTTTCTACGCGGCAGGTTGCTGATTATCTCTTGCACCATGGGTATGTTTATGCTGGCCTGGAATTCGTCCGTAGGGTTGGTGCTGGTCATTCAGCTGTTGATTGTGATGCGCGAGGAAATGTTGCTGCATCTGCCGCTGTTGCCTCTGCTGCTGCTGCTGCCGTTGAGCAGTCGCAAGCAACATGGCACAAACCAACTTATGCCCAGCCTTCCAATCCAGTGCCTGACACGCTCTGCTGCAATACTTAGCCTCTCCGCACGCAGAGCAGCACCTAAACTCCTGCCGCCGTGTCTCCGACCGGCCGCAGCGGGAATTAGAGCACAGGCGAAGGCCTTCAGGGAGGCCATAGATCCCACGCCAGTCGACAAGGAATTTATGCACAGCAGCGTGCCAGGAGAACGGGGGGAGGGTCACTGTGGGGAGGCAGCAGCAGCGGTAACCAACACCGTACACTGCACAGGAGGGCAGGACGACCGTATGATTCATTGCATCTGGACCGCCTGCAGGGTGTGCAAGGCCTGCAGGACCTGTAGCTGCTGGGGGTTGCACTGGTGTTGTGCTGTTTGCGATCCCATGGATAGCTGCTGCCTCTGCAGATGTCCATGGGTTGGCTCTCCGTGGCATGGTCCGCTGCTGCTGCTGCTGCTGCTGCTGCTGCTGTTGCTGCTCCTGCTGCTGTTGAAGAGCCTCTAAACGATTTGGCTGGGTGTCTAAATTCTGCTGCTGCTGTTGCTGTACCTGTTGGTGTTGTAACTGTTGTTGCTGTAACTGTTGGTGCTGTAACTGTTGTTGCTGTAACTGTTGTTGCTGCAACTGTTGTTGCTGTAACTGTTGTCGCTGTAACTGTTGTTGCTGTACCTGCTGCTGGTAATCCAGTACGGTTTGGCTATGTTGCAGCAGGTGCTGTGCGTTCTGGCCTTGAGCCTGCCATGAAGCCATGGCATGCTGCATCCCAAGCGCATGGGCAGAGCGGGCCTCGTCAGGTTCTGTTGATGCAGGCGTAGCAATAGGCACGGCAGTGACTGCTGATGCTGGTGCTGGTGCTGCTGGTTCTGCTACTACTGCTGATGATGCTGATGGTGCTGCAGGTTCTGCTGCCGCTGCGGCTGATGGTGCTGCTGCTACTGCCATGGCAGCCCTTGGTTCTCTCGTCAGAACTGTAGCAATGGGCACGGCAGTGACTGCTGAGGCCCGGAGCATTTCAGCAGCCTCGGCAGGGGACACGAGAGTGCCATAGGCTCGGCGAGCCCGAGCCAAGCCTTGCAGGGCTTGGAGATCCAAACGAGGCCGGGAGGTTCGGCGGGGAATCATGGGAGCTACGGACGAGAAGACATATTGTTGGGTGGGTTGAGTTTGAGGGGGAGAAGCTGGGAAGGGTTGAAGTTCGGAAGGCTGAACTTGAGTGGGTTGAATTGGGAAGGATTGAAATGGAAAGGGTTGAACTAAGGAGGCTTGAACTGGAGAGGGTTGAACTGGGGAGGGTTGAACTTGGGGAGATGCAATGCCCTGTTGATGCCGGGGTTGGTAGTGATACTGCTGTATCTGACCCCCGTACTGTTCTACAGGATGTTGCTGCACAGAACTGGGGCCATTTATAACACGGATTGTTTCAGAGCCAGCTGCTGCTTCCACTCGCCTCCGACCCTCGTTTTCTGCTTCGGACCGAACCTGCATTGTAAACTGGCTCTGCGGAGAAACCACTACCGCTGCTGCTTCGGTATTCTCTGTTCCCCATGATATTCTCACAATACCCGTGGCTTCGGCAATTCCAAAGTCTACTCTTGTGACTGCCCCTCTTGCGACTGCTCCCGCTGAGACTGCTCCCGCGGAGACTTCTTCTGTTGTCTCTGGAAGCCAAGGCGCGGGTGCAGCAACTGCTTCAAAAGGCGGAGAGATCGCAGCTGCTGTAAGAACTGTAGCCGCACTCCCCGCTGTAGCAGCTGTAGCAGCTGCTGGTGCAGCAACGGATGTAGCGGTTGATACACCTGCAGCCGCTGTAACAGCTGTAGCAGCTGTAGCGGCTGTAGCGGCTGTAGCGGCAGCAACTGTAGCGGCCTCTCTCGTGTTCGCCTCGAGCAGCAGGCGCCTCCCCTCCGCCACGTTCCGCGGAACCCCATACCCGTCCTGCAGGCAATGCCCCAGCTCCCGAAGCGCCTCCACGTGGCCTTGCGCGGCGGCCTTCGCGCACAGCAGCACGCCCGCGAGCAGGTCGCGATCGAGGCGCGTGCCGCTGCTGCCGTTGAAGTGGATCACGGAGAGCGAGTGCAGCGCGTGCGCGTGCCCGCCGAGCGCGGCGCGCGCGAGCAGCGTCGCGCCGCGGCGACGGTCCTCGAGGCAGTAGAATTGAATCTGTGAACGAAAACGATGGTGTCAATTAAGAATTTTCCTCAAAATGGTGAACGAAACGTTACAACGTCACAACATTAGCGAACGAAAACGACGACGACGGACTGAGAGGCGAGCGCGCGACGATGGGGAGGGGACTGACCATGCCGAGCGAGTAGCACGCGTCGAGGTTACCCGCCGCGGCGCACCGTTTGAGGAACCGATGCGCGCCGTCCGACCAGGACGGCGCCGCCACCGAAATGGCCGCGGGCGACGCGCGACTCAGCACGTGCGGCTCGACGCCCAGCGCGCACACGCGGCGGCACGTCAGCCACGCGTTGATCAGGTCGGCGGGGGAGCGCGCTCGCGCCGCGAGATGCTGGAGAACGCACGTGACGAGGTCGTCCTGGGGGAACGGACACGCCGGGGGGGGGAAGGTGGGGAAGTGGGGGGAGTGGGGGAAGGACGGGAGGTGGGGAGGGCTCTTGAGTCGACTCAATCATCGCGAGTTGCTGGAGAACGGACGCGACGAGCTCGTCCTGCGGGAACGGACAAACGAGGAAAAGGAAGGAAATGAGAGGGAAGCGAGAGGGGAAATCACTTGACGCTTGCGCGTGAGGTGTGGCGCTCGACACGCGCACGCGGAGGCGCCGCATGGGATTGCCGCGAGGAGACGAGCACGGGGTAGGGGAGGGGAGGAGCGTGATTCTTCTTCCACTCGCGCGGCTCCGGCGCAGCTCCGGCGGAGTTCCGGCGATCCATGGCTTTTTCGCCGATGGGATGAGACTATTTGAGTCGACGATGGGCCTTTGTGCCAGGACACCAAGTGCGGCGGCGGGGAGAGGGGACAGGTGTGAAATGCGGAACTCACGCTTTTGAAGCCACGATGCGACGGAGGGAACTCCCCGCGTTGACGGGGAGTGGTAATCCCCGTGGAAGGGGGGGAACAAGACGGAAGAAGGGGGGAGCAGCGCGATGCGTGTTGGGGACCGATACGGTTGCGCAAAGCGGTGGGTGGGTTGTGATGCGGCAGCGCAAATGATGCGCAAATGATTCTCGTGAGTTGTTGCGTTCGTTATAATTTGCTTACGGGTAAGTCGTCGAAACTAGACGCGTCCGAGCACGTCATTCGCCTTCGCTTCGCCGCGTCACTACAAATGCACAGAGCCGTTGCGTCGTATGATGGAGCCATTGCCGGCTTTCGACCGGAGAATGGGTGAATGTGAAACGTGCCGTCAGACGCGCTACGGTACCCTCCTGAGCGTGTCCTCATTGCTGTAGCGCTTCCCCAGGCTGAGTCTTGACGAGAGCACAACGGTAAGTAGCGTCAGTCGGTTATCATGGGTTATTATGCTCGGGATAAGACTTCCTCTATGCTTTTGACCGGCATGCGAACTCTGAAACGTAGAAGCTGCGAACTTGGCAGACAAGAAGAATCAATCTTACATTCCCAAGAGCATGCTCTGAGCCAGAATGGATTGCGAGTGACGCGAATGTCGAGGGGATGTTGTTGAGGGGTTGAATTGCGGTAGTTTGATAGGGGTTCAATAAGACTTCGTAAGGTTCAAGTGAGGTACGAATGACGTGGGCTCAGATACACGAACGTGAACTGTATTGGTCGTTGGACCTGCCCTTTTTCACCGCCTCCACTGTGAAGTTCGTGAAAGAACAGAACTGTACTGTTCAGTTGCACAATTCTTCTCAAGGGACACCAAAAAGGCGATGCTTTTTTAGCCAGGGCCTAGCCCCGGTCAGCAGGGAGGGAGGCCAGGGGACCAATTCGATTAGCATGCTGTTTGTGTCCGACCATTTTTGGAAGTGCACTGTACAAAGACAAGTCCGAGCTTTGGGTTCGTCGTGGCTTCAAAGATTTAAGTTCCACTGAAAAAAAACGGAGGCAGGAGACTCAGGTCGTAATATTCACGAGTACCTCCACTTATTGACTCGACCTCACCTTAATGAAAAGCAAGAACACTTAAACTCTGATGGGCCAACAATCTCGTTTAGAACTGGGGGGCGAGGAAAAGGTCAGGGTTTAGTTCATATGCGATAACATCGTGTGTACACAGACATTTGGCCGTGTTTTTCGCCACATTCTTGTAGAATTTCATTTCCTAAAACACTTATCTTTTAGCCACAATTCTGTTCTTCTGTTAGTCAGAGACGTTGGCAATTTTCAAGGACTTTACTATTTCTCCTGGACTTCATCATTTTTCAAGGACTTAGTCGAAATTCATAATCGAATTTCATGGGCTTCGCCAAATACTACAGGCTCGGACTTGGCCAAATTTCAGGGAAAGGTTCCGCCACCGCGATTTTGGGCTCGAGACTCAAGAAAATTGTGACGAGTGCTGGACTATTAGAACTCTTCCTGGACCGAGTACGGTATACAGCAGCCTATAAAAATGTCGACCTCTGAAATGGGGCGAGGAGTACTTGTTGCAACCCGTCTTTTGCAGAGTGGTTCTAAAACTCCTGAAACCTCAGAAAGAACGGACCCTGCTCTACACTCTCGACACTTGTCGACGTCCGTGACAGGAACGAACCTACAGTAGCACACACAAAACACACAAATCTCATGTTTTAGCAAACCGTCGAGTAAAACAGCAACCCAAATGCAGCCCTTGGACGTTTGGATACACCCTGTTTCGCGCCACACTGACATCCGCTGTATGAACTCAACGCTTTGTGTGAATTCACCTACGAAATGCCCGAAGCTCTAGCGGAATCATTTTTTTGTCGCCCCTCGTGAGCCAATAACTGTTTTTCTCCAAACCCCCTTCCCAACATCTCAAGCCGAACCGCGTTGAATGTGCACCCTGGTTTTAAACTGAAGTTTTTTACCGGGGAGCTGCAATGAACGACGGCCCTACTGTGCAGGAAAATGTACGTATGCATGCACCTCGTGTCGTGAGCTGTTTGCATGGGAGGAATGGTTCCCTCGCAATGACCTCAGAGGGAGGTCATTGCGATGGCGATGGTTTCAGCAATCTTGGTGTTCCCTCCGACCTGAAACCAAGAGCTGATAATAAATTCGCCCGAAACTTGAATACATCTGAATTCCTTTTGACTACCTATTTTAACCGACCCGGTGCTCCTGAAACGTGTTGTGACGTGATTGTCGTGGGGAAATTTGGACTAAGTGTACATCTAATCGGAATGCTAATTTTGGGCCATTGCCCGAGGAACTCAACTCAACCAGCATCAACCCTGCATTGACTCCCTGAAGTTGCTGTTGGTTTTCCTCAATATCCTCTGTATCTCTCAACGGAATCGAGGGTGACGCTCCGTTTTGCCTGGGATAACGCTTTGGGGTGACGCTTTCGGGAGCGTCACCCTAACCAGGGCAGAAAAAACACCATGCGGCAAGGATTTTAGGGTTGATGCCGACAAACGTGGCATGCCATTCCGACAGGGTTTTAGTTTTTTTTTTTTGCCCGTGGGAGGTTTGTCTTTTTGTCGTCACCCTCATTCCGTTGAGATATACCAAGCTGTGCGCCTAGATGTCGACATTGGTCTCGAATAAGGCCAGAAAGTGAGGCTGCATGAGGACAGCCGAGTACACTCCGTGAACATGTGCGAAATCAGAGCAAAACCAGCAGCTGAGGTGTCGAAAATCCACAAGCGAACCCAACGACTGGTCCATTGAATTCGTTCGAAACAAATCAACCCCCCGGATGCATGCGTGCCACGTGTGTGCATCCACAACCCCAGCCTGGATGTCAGGTCAACATGTGAAGACAAAGTCAATAGAACATTTCGAATGTTCTGATTTGTCGCTTGGTGCACTGTGTGCCTGTCAACATTAGGGGTGTCGGTTACATGCACAGTGGCGCTAAATGAAAGCACTGTTGACGCAGCTCCCGATTGTCAGAACATTGAGAAACATGGTGTACAACAAACAATCTGCTCAAAAGCTACACAATGTGACAAATAGAGCTGTCGAATCGCTGTACCATTCGCGAAGCGCCTGAGTGCAGCTCTTGTCGGAACACGATCCAGCAATGGAGCTAGACTTGCATCACATCATTACGAAACGGTTACAAACGATGGCCGTCCCGAAATGACGATTGCTACGTGTAATGAAGTGCCCCGGAAACTTCGAAGAGCATTAAATGCGGGTTGGTGGGAGGGTGCTTGGTGCTGCTTTTGTCGGACTCTCTATTGTTACAAGTGCAATAGAGTGAGTAGCGAGCATTGCACAATCGATAAATAATTAAATAAACATCATGAGCAAACAGTTGTAACTATAACTAATGTTAGAGTAATCAGCAAATGTTTGGGTGTTGTCGCTGAGGTTTGGGAATAAACTCTCAAAGTTAGCGAACAACGGAATATGTGAACTAGGGAAACAAGGGATACAAATAGCAACCCTAAAAGTGTTGTACTCCCTATAGTGCTACTCACTGTAGCCTAAGAACCTATAATAACATTTGACACACCCCCATAGGCTAAGTGAGGGGCATCAAAGCAATCAGGGTGAAAAAACGGTCACAAGACCAGTCACTGCAAGAAGCAAAGCAAGCTCAGGGTGGATCTCAAGGACACCACACAAATTCCGAGCACAAGCAAGCGGCCACAAGGCCAGTTCAAGAGTTCATTAGGATATATATAGCAAAGCACAACAAGCAGAGCAAACAGCAAGTCTACAGCAACCGAGGGCCTACCTCAACAAGCCCCAACTGCACACAGAACATGTGGTGGTCACCAAGCGCCAGGGCCTTGGTGAAGACGTCTGCAGTGTTGGCCTCTGAGGCCACAAAGTCCAGGTGTGCCTGGCCGCGTCGCTGTAGCTCTCGCAGAAGGAAGTACCTCACGTCAATATGCTTCACTCTGCTCTCCAGTCGAGGCTCTCGACACAGGAGGATCATGGCCTTGTTGTCAGCGTACAAGGTCGGTGCAGAGCGAGGCCGCTCACCAAGGTCGGCGAGCAAGAAGGTCAACCAGCGAAGCTCCTGTGCCGCCATGGCACCAGCGTATATCTCTGCCTCTGCACTGGAAGTAGCCACAGACGACGACCGTGTAGACCTCCACGACACAGCACCAGCACCCAAACTGAAGCAGTAACCCTGAGTCGAGCGCTGAGTCTCCACGTCGTCAGCGTAGGAAGAGTCACAGTGACCAGTCAACGCCACTGGCTGAGTCCCTCCAAGCACAAGCCCCATGCCTGATGTAGTCGCCAGGTACTTCGCCACCCTCACAGCAGCTGTCCAGTGGACAGGACGGTGTCTCCCAGTCGCAACAAAGCGAGAGAGGACGCTGAGGGGAAAGGCGAGGTCCGGCCGAGTACAAGTCATCAGGTACATGAGGCAGCCCACCAGCTCTGCGTAGGGACCACTGGACTCAAAAGGCTCGTCGGGAAAGGGGCCAGTGAGTCTGTGGTCAACAGCAAGAGGTGTGGGCTGTGTGGTGGAGAACTGGAAGTCGAACCGCCGAAGGACCTGCTGCACCATGTGTGACTGAGTCAGTGTGATGGTGCGAGCGGCTCTGTCCCTGGTGATCTGCAGGCCAAGGTAGCGCTGCAGTTCACCTAGGTCAGTGCACTTGTGTCTCTTCTGCAGTTCGGACTTCACCTGAGCCAGAGCTGCCCTGTCTGCTGTGGCAAAGACCAAGTCGTCGACGTATATGTCAGAATCCCAACCACTAGACCATTGGGATAAAATGGCTTGTTTCAGTAGCGGGTCAGTGCGCCCCTAACCCCCCAGGCTAACAGGCCTGTAACCCCCCAAGGATCAATCGGGGATCTCATAGTGCAAGTCTTC